GAGTACAACTAGTTCTGTATGGTACTGAGTTCAGTGTCTGAGGGCCTCTGTGGAGCAGTTGCAGCATGGGAGCTGGAGCATAAGGCATTGGAAAAGGTGATGGGGAGTATGAAGTCAGGTCCCCATCTGAGGTTCCCAGGAAGGAACAAATGGTGTTTGGTTACTTTTGCGGCAAAAGATGCTGGCATCCTCTGCAGAGCAAGCTTCTTGAGAATTCAGTAGTTCCTGCTACATGGCACATGGCTGATACCTCTGACCTTTCTTCTTTGTGCCTAGCCATTCAGTTGTCTCAGAGTGCAGATCTCATTCACAATCCTTTCTATAGAGATATTCTCTATTTCATTTTACCACTGTGTTGCTGCAGAATCTTTAATGAGCTCTTGGGCCCTCTTAGGGCTGTTTTGATTTGTAGAGGTAACTGTCAAGGGTGAAGGCTTATATCTCGTACTTCATTTGATATCACTTCCTTGACTCATGCTGTGTTTCAGTAGTTTAGCATACTGAATGTATCCCTCTGCATGCTGACTTTTTTCACTCAACATTATATTTTTGAGGTAATGTGTTAGAACTCAGGGCCTCATGCTTGCTAGGCAAGTGCTCTGACACTTGAGCCATGCCCCTAGCCCTCTTGGTTTTAGTTGGTTTTAGATAGAGTCTCCTGTTTTGACCCAGGCCAGCCTCAGACCACACTCCTACCTAGACCTGGTAGGATTACAGCTTGTACAACCACTCCTGGCTTGTTCTTGAGACGGTGTCTTGGTAACTTTTTTGCCCAGACTGGCCTTCAGTCTCCTCTTATCTTTCCCTCTCAATTAGTAACCATTCTTGTTCTTCATACAGTTAGAAGTATTTGAGTCAGCTTCCTCCCTTCTTAAATACTGCTCTTCCTTTGCTCCCTACCTATTTGCCAAACCTATCTGACTCCCCTCCTCCCAACCAGTGTGGACCTCCTGGGTATGCCTGTAGCCCAGGTACCATTCAAGTCCTCATAAACCACAAGATTGACCCAGAGTTGCCAGTAGAAAAATCAGTGGCTATATAGTTGGCCTTGAGAAAAATACTAGAAACTGCTTTCTGAGAATTGGACATTTAGTGATATGCACAGTATTTCTGAAATTTCTTGTGGGCAACCACAAGGGCAAATCCAAGGGAATATTTCCAATCCTCTTACAAAAAAGCACACCCCAAGGCCAAGAAACAGTAATACACCTGAATAATCGGTTTATTCTCTTCCAAGAATGATGGAGTGGAAAAAGTATCTAGGTTCTGGCTAGTGTTTCTAGAATACCACATTTGAACATTCTTATATAAAAATTTTCTAAACCTATAAAATATATTATCAATTTCAGATGGCTCATATTTAGACTATAGTGGTTATAGATTATATTTTTGCAGTCTGGTGTTTTTCCCCTTTCATTCTGGTTTTGGTTTTTGGCAGTGCTAGGAAATGAACCCAGGGCCTCACACATTTTCTAGGCAAGCACTCTATCACTAAGTTACATCCCAGCCCTATTTTTGCAATCCGAGTCTATCTCCCTATTCTCTTCTAAACCATGCCACTGAGGCAGGGCATATATGACTATTTGTTTATTTCTTTGTTTGATTTTAGTGTATCATGTAACTGCTTTTTTGTGGTACTGAAAATTTAACCCAGGGCCTCACACATGCTAAGTAAGAACTCTACCACTGAGCTACATCTCCAGTCATATGTGACAATTTTTTTAAATCACTTTTTATTTTGACTTTGACAATATCTGTTTGGAGTCAGGAAACTTGCTGCCTTGAAAAGAATCTTGGCAGGGGTACAAGACACCAAGCTTTTAGTACAAACTATTATTGCCCAATGTAGAACTTTTGGTAAATTATGGAAGGCCTCCATTTTCTCAACTGTAGAATGGAGGCTTAGACTAGACTGACAATGTCAGGGAAAGATCTTCCTTTCCCTCCTCAATATTCTTGACTATAATGTCATTCATTATATTTTGTCATTAAAAGAATTTTCAGAATCCCACCGGTAATAGGGTCTTTACAAGTATCACACTGTAAAGGAACTTTCAACTTTATCCCAAATACAAAACAAGTTGGGTGGAACACCATATAGACTTGATAATTTTGCAGTTTTAGACTCTGATATATCATTTTGTCTTCACCTGGAACATAGTTCTCTCATTAAAATGTGAATTTTAATGGTACTGCAATATCATAACTGCATTTTTGCTACGATAAAATGATTTTCAAGGAGAGTTTGCAGAAATTTCTGGACCTATATTTATATCCTTTAATTGTGAATAAGACTCCTTATACCCCTAGCTTTCTTTGGCTATGTAAACAGTGTCTTGGGAAACAGAGAGCCACATGGAATGGTATAAGATTTTTCCCCACAGTTTTATTCCTGATCACTAACAAAGACATTTGGTGGAGTTACCATTATTTTAATCTCTAAGTCTTTGTTCATAAAGAGACCTTACCTTCTTATCCTTTTCCTAATATACTTTCTCATGTTTATTTCCTCATAATGTAACAATGCAAAAATTTGTGATGATTGTAAACTAACTAAATAAAACTCATGTAAGTCTAAGTATTTGGAAGGTCAGATGTCTAGTGGTTAATTAGGACTTCGTAATAACAATAAATGTATACAAGTATTTAATTAACATAAGTATTAAGAGATAGCTCAAGTGTCACAGCTGAAATATTTGTCATTTCAATAAAAGGATAGTATAATAGTAAGAGGGAAAGCTTTGAATAATCAGCAATAACCAAGGACAATTGGACTACATTTTAATATAGTTGTGCTTCAAAATCATTATTTAATAGCTTTGCTTTGATTTTTGCCTCACTATACATTTGCGAACAAACAAAAGTATGAGTGAGTGTATATGTGTGTGTGAATGTGTTTATCAGTAAGAGCTTTTAGAACTATAATTATTAATGAATTCAGTGTCAACACCAAGACAAGAAGCCAATACATATAAATGAGCCCGGTAGTCCAAAGGAGGCACATGACCTGGCCATGTTGAACAGCAGCCAAATCCCTCCCCTTGCAGGGACCTTAAACCTATACATGGTGAGACCTGCCTAGACTATGCCAGGAAAGTTTGCATACCATGATTGAATTTAAGGGAAAAAACCATGTAACTCCAGATTCTGACATGGTCTACAAAGAATCTTAGGCATCCAAGTAGTCCACAAGTAATCTTTCTAATCACTTCTTTGTTGCCATGCTCTCCAGGAGCCTCAGATAATCCATGAAAATTATTCTTTTATCTTTAGATAGTATTGCTATATTGTCCAGGCTGGACTTGAGTTCAAGATCCTGCAGTAGCCTCCTGAGTAGCTGGAATTGTAGATATGTACCACTACACCCAATTCCATTCAGATTAAATGAGGAAATCACATTCTCTTCTCTTTCCTCTATGTCGTCAAACTAGTTTCTTGCTCCTGGTAGCCTTTCTTTTTATATTCCTGAATCCATCCTCAAGAGCATAACCTTAATTCAGGCCTTTCACCTTAATTTGGGTGGACTGTTGCATTTCCTCATTGCTTCACCTCCGGATCATTCCCCTCTAATCTACTAAATCTTGGTAAAATAACAATTTGGATTCCTTTGTTCACATCATCCTTAAGAAAGTGTCAAACCTCCCTAGTATTATACCTGAGGCCCTTCAGGAGTTGCTTTGTTACCACTAAGTTCATTTCTTTAAAAGACCTCCAGGTAAAGAATCCCTGGTCCAATCTAAATGACCAGCAGCAACTCTGTGGATTTGACATAGATGGTCTTGCCTTTAAGTTGCTTTTTCTGCTAGAGTACCCTTCCTCTTCATCTCTTTGACTTCATGCAGAACTTCTATACATCCTTCCAGACTTGGCTCAAGGCTCTCTGTAACTATAATTGTATTAAAGTCACAAGTTGATATGTTCTCAGCTCCTTGAGGGTAAGAGCCCATCATATTCATGTCTGATCCCACATTTAAGTTTCATCACCTACTGTTCTTTTTTACTTTCTATTCTTTGGCCATGCCAAGTCTCACAGCCTTTCTCTAGCTCCTCCCTTTGTATAGAGATCCCTTCCCTGCTCCCACACCATGCTTTTCATAGAACGGGCTTGTTCTTCTTTCAGATCCCAGTTCAAATATCAGTTCTTCAGAAAAGCAGTATTTACAGTGCCAGATCTCAAGTAGTCCTATCTCATCCTTTCAATCATTCTATTATTATCCTGTTTTGTTTTCACTGAAGCATTTGTCACTGTTAAGAGTGATCTTGTTTATCCCTATGTTTATTTGTTGCCCTCCTCTTCTCCCAGCCCTCACTAGGACATATTTCTCTGACCAATTGCAGGGTACTTTTCTACTCATTCACTGATGTCTGGCACGTAATAGGTATGAATAAATATCTTTGAAATGAGTGTGTTATATGTAGGGTTTGCATCTAGAGGAATGGTATGAATAGGATTGTTTTATGAGTACAGGTTTCTCAGTGAGGAAAAGGTAGGCATCCTATTCAACCCCCCACCCACTTACTACCTCTATCCCAGCTATGTTCTGAGTCATTGTTTGAATGTTATTACCTTTTCTCTTTCACAACTCCTCATAGCATAGTAAGTATAAGTTAAGGCCCACCATTTTAAGGCCTGTTAGAGTATATCCACTGGAACCAAACTCTCTAGGTTCAAACCCAAGCTCTGCCTATGTATGACTTTGGGCAAGTAATTCATTCTTTCTGTAGCCCAGTTTCCACACTTATAAAATGATGTCTGCTTCATGAACTTTCTGGGATGATTATAAGAATATGTACACAAAACTCAGAACAGTGTCTACATAGGAAGTTCAGTATACATGGTTGTCATTAACATACATGGGTGTCATTAGTACGGGTTGTTTTCTATTGTGTGAGGATAGGATGCAAGTGACAAATCTAAACAATAACATCTATGAGAGCTGAATGTGATGCAGGAATTTTGTGTGACATAGTTGCAAATACCAGGACATTGGCTTCCAGGATGTCAAAACACTATAATTTATTAATTTCACACTTAGATAATTACAAAGCACATACATGTATATTCAAGAAATCCGAAAGTTATTTAGAGTACCTCCATGATTTTGTGTTGTGCTATAAATTTTATCATAAAATAGTTCAATAAAACACATCTTGCATTTTAACATTTTAAAATAAAATCCATTATATCAAAATCTTGAGCATTTAAAAAACTGTAAAAACCATGACCCAAATCAACAATTCTGTGCTTTATGATGCAGTGGGTAAACATGGCTTCATTTTTCTATAAAGAATTTGCTCTGTTCCCTTCTGACTTGTTCAAGGGCTTCAAAAGTGATCATTCCTTTTGGTAGTTGCAACTTACTCTTCTCTGTTTCCAATATGTCTTCAGCTTCACCTTAAATAAAGTACAGAAATATGAGAGGCCACAAAGGAGTCATCGAAGTTTTGTGAGAGAGCCTGATTACTATTTTTAGTGACAAGCTGTGACACTGTATGGAGCCATGTCCCCATGTCACACAGTCAAACATTTCACCCGTTTTCCTCTGGAGAAGTAATGCACCTCCCAGAAGACACACACTATGAATTCTGAAAATCTGCTTGTAAGAGTATATAAGATGGAACCCCTTTGTTCTCTGGGCTTAGCCTTTGGACATGAGTCCACTGAGTCTGTGCCAGCACAATAAAACATTGCTTCCTGCTAAACTGCCTCAGTGTCCGTATCTCAGTTTGAGATTCCCACAACAAGGCCATAGCTGGATGTGGTGGTGCATGACTGTAATTCCAGCACTTAGGAGGCTAAGGCAGGAGGATCTCAAGTTCAAGGCCAGCCTGGGCTACATAGCAAGATCCTGTCTCAAAAACAAAAAATAAACAACAAAAAGCAGATGTGGAGCATGGACTGCTTTCCTCCAGGCACTCCCACTGGGAGTCTACTCTTTCTCTTGCTTTTCTTTCCTTTTCTAATAAAACTCTGTCACTTTGCACCTCAAAAACAAACAAACAAAAAACAGATGGTAGAAATTTTTTCTTGACAGAAGACAGCATTTTAAAACTTAGGAGAGAAAGAACATCAAAATTAAGTAATTTTCCCCCTGAATCAAAGTCAGGATAATCAGTATTAATTGTTCTTGGAAGGGTAGGGGATGGAGAAAGTCCACACAGTCCTTCCTATTGCCACTTAATATAAATTAGGTGATAGGAGAAAAAAAAGTCTACTTAAAATTCTAAGTTTCAGGAAAGCTTCTCTTTGACCTGAAATCACTTATAAATACCCAAAATAATAGTAAATGTCTTTAGTCTGTACACATAGATATACATTTTTACAAATAATTTTTATAAACAATTCCTCTTTCAAATGACAATTAGAAAACCCAGTAATGTCTTGGGCCCAGTGACACTCACCAACTTCTGTTGTTCAAGACTAACAACTTTGTAAAGAATTATATTATTATATATGTGATGTCTTATAAACCTGCTTTGGAAATTTAGGAAATGCTTTCTAAAATACTCCTCTTTAATACACTAGTTTATGTATTCATTTGTGGTGGCAATTTACAATGGCACATATTTATATATGTTGATTTTTGTGTGTGTTTATATATAATGTATATTGATCATATCAGAATACTTAGCAGGTCCATCACCTCATGGATATGAGACAAATGCATGAGATACATGGACAACTAGATGTTTTCCATGTAAGAGTCAGTCAAATGGGAATTACAAATTTTGGGGAAAAAAATAACCTAAAATTGACTGGTGCAATGTTTCCTGATGGATTTTGAAGCTGCATTTAAGCAGGAAATTCATACAATATGCTTCGAATTTTTAATGTTTAGACTTACAGACCTGAAATAAAGTTACTTTCCAAACATACAAACTTTCCTAGGAAATAAACTTGCATTCCTTTAGTCATATGTACAAGAAAATGCTATATAATAGAGCTGACATTTCTTAATGCTACATACTGTTTTTTATGAGGCACTGAGAATGCCAATCTCCTCATAAACATGAGACAGAGTTGAGTTTAGACTAATGAATTTCTTAAGCAGACAAGTAACATGAGACTTGGGAGGTCATGGGAATAAGATTTAGCATTAGTAAATCAGTGTGTACAGTTAGTTTCTAGCTTAAAATAAGTTTTATTCCAAAGTTAATCACTAGGTCAGTGTTTTCAAACTCAGAATGCATTTTCCCATAGTAATAATGCTGCAAATCAGTTTTTAAACTATAAACACAAAAAACCCTACTTAACCAACTATATGGTTATACTATGATACCAATAATTCTAGCTCTAAATAGACATCTTAACATAGTTTCTATGCAGAAAATGCATTTCCATTTTCAAATGAGAATTTTTAAGAACATATAACCCCTTCCCAGGCCTGGGAATGAAATGTTCTGCTTCTTAACTCCAAATAGGGAAGGAAGAGAGATCTGAAATTCTTCCTTCCCCATGCCAAACCAGTATGATGGAAGAATGATAGGCTCATGGCCCAGGAAAAGACAGAAAGGTAAAAATGAAGTTCAGCAAAGCACTGTTTACAATGTGCTCTGGGTTGAAAGCTTAAGAAAGGACTTTGAGATCTTTTTAGAACGTAACTCTTAGAGAAGTGGTAGGAATTTGAAAGACATGGTTATCTTAGACCAATGGACAGCCCTAACTCCCTGGGATAGGAATGGCTTCTGTGGCAGCAGCAGCATCTTTTTAGGGCAATACAGTCAGGATCCCTTGAAGGCAGTGGTATTTTGGTGAATATTTAACAACCAGCTTTCCAGAAAAACAAATGCACCTAAGTTTAAAATTACTTATGTAAAAGATATAGAGCACATAATAAAACACACAATACTCTTAATCATAAATACCATATAGTAAGCTGATTCTCACTGAATTCTTTCACAATTTTTGCTCAACTCTTGAACTCACAGCTAAACTGTAATTGCAGTTGATGAGATGGTATAATTCTAACATAATGATGCTTGGTGTTTTCATTTACATTAAGATGTAGAACATAAGTGAAACAATGATGATATATCTTGAAACTTTATTAATTTGAAAACAATGTGAACCATCTTTGCCAAACCAGATAATAGTTTTTAAATATTAGAGGAATATTTCCTCAAATTTTATGTTATTCAGAATATAGTGGCTTCAGATGCAAATGCTTATAAACTTAATCTGCACTATTAAAATTATTTCCATCAATTTCTTAAGTCTAGACATGAGTTGGAAAACTTTCTTAGAGGGCAATACAGTACATATTTTAGACTTGTATGACTTTACACTTCCATTTCAATGACTCAGATCTGTCATGGTAATTGGAAAGCAGCCATAGACAATGAATAAATAAATGGCCATGAATGTGTTCAAATAAAACTTTATTTTCAAAAATAGCTAGCTAGCCCATAGACCATAGTCTGCTAACCCCTGGTCTAGGCAATCAACAAAATAAAAAGTCAACCCTTGAGTTGATGTTAGATTTCCATGATGTAAATACTCCTGCCATGACTAACCTCAGCCTACCAATGTGATGTCATCAAAGTTGAAGTTGTAGCTATATTTTGTTGTGTCTATATATAGTATCTGCATTTCTATCATACAGATACAATTGATACAAATAATCTGAGTATGTGTAATAGAAAAATAATTAAAAATAGAAGTGTTCTGAGTATTTGTAAATGACTGTGTTTAACACCTAGTTTGCAAAATTTCTGAAAATTTAACAATCAATTCTTGTGAGATGATAAAAGCTGACTCCAGATACCACTGTGGGAGAAGGAACAGAAATGGTCTTTGGAAGCTTGGAGAAAGGATTCATCCGAATCTGAATAAATCAAGGATCCATAGGAGGGGATTCTTGAATCAGAAAAAGAATCAGGAAATAGAAACTCTGGTTTTCAAATACTTACTTTTCATTCTTTGCAGAAGAGTTCCATAGCCCAAGTCATACTGGTAGATGAAGACAAAGCTTAATGGAACTATAGGGAAGAGCAAGGCTGGCTTCTTTTGTTTTATTGCTCTGTTTCAAGAACAAAAAAGACCCCATATCAAGAAATAACCTACAAATACATATATCTATACTAAAGAACAGATACCTTCTTTTTGGAAGAATGTCATCCATTTAAGAAACTATTTAATTAAGTTGAGTCTTCTATGGAAACAGGATTTCCTTACTCAGAACACCTCATCAGATTCTGCAGTTCTCAAGGGTAAGGTCTACAACTTGCTCATCTTTGATTTTAAGACTCAGATGCCTGTTTTGTTTTTGTTTTTGTTTTTAAACATGGTTAAGGATCAAGAGCTACCACTCAGAGTATAAATCTGAATGTAAGGATAAGCCTATGGAGGCCTCCTTTCTTGGTTTTAAGTGTGTCCTCTTGCTAACTTATAAAGTAGAGAAGAGGAGAGCAGAAATCTGAGGAACTAAAAGCAGAATTAACTGTTATTAGTTCTACAGTTATCCCTGAGGACTAAGCTATAAGAGGTTTCTTTGTTTCTTTGTTTACATGTACTTATTTGGACCAAAGTCCTGTCATAGCCAACTTTATTACAATATAATTATGGTGAAGATAAAAAGAAGCACATTATTTAAGAAAATCTTACAGTAAATAACAAACATACCCAACTGTTAAAGAGATGGTTGAAATGCCAAAAAAAGTTCCAAAATATTTGAGGAATTCCCGAGACCAAGCAATCTGCATAGCCATTTGTCTTTCCCTCATCTCATTCTGCATCACTAACTGCCTTTCCAGCTGAGTACAAAACAAAAGACAACATGTGGTTATTCATCTTTTGATTCAGAAAACAGAGTTAATTATCTGATTTTCCAGTGGATTTCATTCTTCAGTTGCTTTGATTCATCTTTGTTTTATTTTTAAATCTCAATAGACTTTGGCTAAAATCCTTCTGAACAGCTATTCACAACTGTCACTTTGACAGTAAAATCTCCTTGGGATCTATACAGCATAGATATTGATACTCTATTTTTGCCTCCTGAGGTCTTGATTGCATTAGGTTGGGGATGTCTATCCAAACCTCAAGCACATGTTCAGCTTTTCTACTGCAGGTGAGGAAAGATCTATAGGTCTTTAAACACAGATTACATTTTAGGGAACTTTATTCTTAACACCTACATGGAAATCATCTTGCCTTCCATCCATTTTCCCTTTCAGATCCATCCAACTACAAATTGAAATTAATTTGGAATATCAGGTCTGTTTCACACCATGACATAATAAAGGGGTGTTATTTTGAGACACCAATAGAGATTTTTCTTTGCCACATTTTTTTCTTCTTGTGTTAAGCCCTTTGTCACTGTAGTCAGTGCCTTTCACTTCTTTGGAGCAAAAAGCAGTTAACAGCTCAGAACACAAAAGGAGAGTGAGTATCTGAGTGGATTTATAGGAAACACACAAGAGAAGCAACAGACTGAAAGCCCATTATTTGATTCTTGAGAGAGGAAAGTGTGTTTTCTTTTTGGTTTTCAGATTCTAAAATTTAGGAAATGTGTATCATTAGCAAAGCTAGAAAACAGCAAGCATAGAATTCATGATGAAAGAGTAATAACGTGACTCAGTTTTTAGGTCATGTCCTCTTTCCACTGTGGGCAAGACCTGGGAGAGGAGAAGGAAAGTTTCGATGAAAAGATGAGAGTTGGCTCAGCCCCTCTTGGTTGTTGAAGCACAGAAAGATATTAAGTAAATCCTGATGGATGTGGGGAATTCTCAAATAGAAGATTTGAGACCCTGCCCCCTGTCAAAAATTCTGAGTGGGGCATCTACAATAGTTGAAATGGTTGAGAAGAAATTATTGCAAGGCAGATCTAAGCATAGAACAGGCCTAAGAAAGGCCACTCTAGTCTCCCTTAGGGACCAAGGGGTGTGGAGATTGTCTGCGTGGTTGGTTTCCATGACACCTGGAGAATTTCACAAGAGCTAAAAATTGAAAGCAGGTGGCATGCCAGAGAGATACTGAATCCCAGGGTCAGACAACCCCATAACAGACACTTGGGTAGCAAACATAAGCCAGGGGGTGGATGGGGAAGGCAGATGGATCTCACAGTACCCCAAAGTGCAGACGTAATGGCCAATCTCACCTGAAACAAGGTCTGATGCCCTCAGAAAAAAATCACCTGGCACCGCCCAGATTGATCAAACAGAAACATCAGCAGAAAAGCCTCCCTCAGCCAGATATGCCTCCTCTGTGCCACCTGAGCTCGCCTATACCCAAGCCTAGATTGTTCCAAGGAAAATATGAATAGCAAAGGAGAAAGGGAAAAACTGAATTAAATCTTCCAAAGAAGTGAGTTTTAGGCTGGGGAATACAGCTCAGTGGTAGAGCTCAGAGTAAAAATTAATGTGTTTTTATATACATAATTAAAAATATTTAGTGTGTGAACCCCATCCTTACTATAGTACCTACTCACAAAACTTTCATGACGACTCATCATATCTCCCAAAGTAATGTAAATGTAGCAATTAATCATTTGTGTTTTTATTGAACGGTATCTGGATCCAAACAAGATACACAAGAGCCCAAGATCAGTGGTTCTGTACCTTAGCTCACACTGACCATCTGAGGAGTTTTTCAAAGCCCAAATGCCCAGACCCACACCCCAAATCAATTAAACTAGGTGATATCAGTTAAATAGAATTTGGAGGTAGGACCAGGTATAAGTTTTTTTAAAAATTTCTAGGTAACTCCAGTGTATAGCCAGGATTGAGAATCACTGCCTGAAAGGAACCAATTCACAGCTTAGTTCCCTTCCCCCCCCCACACTAAAAATCAAGCTGAAATATCAGTTTGAAATGGATCCCCTGGAAACTCCCAAAGAGTGTGAGCAGAGAGTTTTTTTAAGGGTGGCAGGACTGATGAGTATTGTACTGTTGTGATGAGTACCTGACACCCTGAACTTGCCAAATGTGTAAAACTATAGCCCCGAGGGAACCTCAATACATAAAAACTTTACATATCAGCTAAGAAGACAGAGGATACAAAAGATAGAATGAGTGGACTTGACAAAATACTAACTCTATTATAAATGTATGACAACTTCACTGAAGGGGTAGAAGGAAAGAAAAGATCTATCACTGGAAAATGGATTTTGACTGAAAACTGTAAAATGAAAGATGGGAACTGGGCATAAATACTGTGCTCTAGTTGGAAAAGCTGTTGCTCATAGGGTACAAGTTAACAATTCTGAAACTGTTTTACATGTCTACTAGAGAGAAACAAACAAGTAAGTTGATGGCAAAAGGTAGGACACCAAGTTTCTTATATTGGAGAAGGAAATTATAAACAAGCAAGGGGAAATCACTAGAATGAACCATGTGGTACTGGATTAGAGTCGACTCAGTCTGAACTCACATTTAGCTTATTGTAGATACAGATACAGATTGGCAGGAAATATATTTCCTAGATCTGTTCATTGGGAGGACATAGTGGTGACAACCTCTTACAAACAAGCACACCTAGCACCCAGACTGTGGTTTCTAGCATTACTCTCCAACAAAGGGAACCAGGGCTCCTTGGAGAGAGAAATGGCTGACCTAGGACTGGGGAAGGAAATAAACAAGATGAGCCTAGAGTATATTGTATACCGAAAGTAAAGAAATGCTTTTTTAAAAATTAAGGAGTATATACAAAGGGACATAAGAGCCAATATGAAAGAGGTCTCAATGGCCAAAGCTAGAAAAATTTGGCCAGCAAAATAACACAAAGTAGCAAATAAATATTCATGAGGTTATACAAATGGAGAAGACACAGAGATCCTGTACAGAAAAATTTAATATTGTCTATGTAGAGATTCCCCTTCCCACTTTGAAAACGTGGAGCTTGGCTTCCCACCCTGTGCTTATGGACTTGTCTTAGGTACTTCCTTTCAATGAGTGGAGTGTGAAAGGGCGGCGGGTAGGAGGGAGAAGCTAAAGAGACAAGATGTAAGATGTCATCTTAAATGGGGTTCTTGAACAAAAAATATATATATTTAACAGTAATGTTCCAATGTTAGTTTCTTAGTTGTAACAAGTGTATCATGATAATGTAACACGTTAACAATAGCAACAGCAGTACAGTAAGAAACTCTGTATACCTTTTCTATAAATCTAAAACTACTCTCAAACTTAGTTTATTTTAAAAAATTGTTATGAGCAATTCTGTCTCTCTGCTCTCCTGCAGATAGGAATAGAAACAATGGTCTCCCAATATTCAAGGTAAATTGTGAAAATCAGCAAGGTTGTATACCTGCAGTAAACTCTGAACCTAGAGTTAAAAAAAATCCATGCAGACCCTCTCTGTGAACACAAAGTCCTGATGAAGGGTATCAAGACATAATATTAATTCTCAATTAAAACTTTCTTCATTACCCCATACTTCATAAAATGCTAGTCACAGTTCTAGATCCATACATATTTTTAAAAATCAAATTAATAAACTTGACCACCAATCTTTTAATAGCCATAATTGGAAAATTACACTAACATAATTATTAATTTACTAATAATAGGCATCCTTTTGGATGGTGGGGGGTAAGATTGGGTTTGAGTTCAGAGCCTCACACTCCCCAGGCTACTTGGGCCATAGTATCAGCCCTTTTTTTGCTTTAGTTATTTTGACCTGGACTAGCCTCAAAACGTGATCCTTCTTACTCATGCCTCTGTAACTGGGATGATGGATGCATGCCACCATGCCCAACTTGTTGATTGAGATGGGGGTCTCACTAATTTTTTATCCAGCTTGGCCTCAAATTTCAATCCTCCTGATCTCCACCTCCCAAGAAACTGAGATTATAGGCGTGAGCCACTACCACACCCAGTCTGAGCTACTATGCCTGGCGACATTCTTTAAATGTCTTTAAATTCTTTAAATGTGCATTCTTTTTGCATTCTTTTTCACCCTTCTCTTCCAATACTGATATTAATAACAACAAACAAAAGGAAATGAGAACATATACAGAGGGTACTCTTAACAGTTTTTAACACAAATCATAGATTCAACTATTTATCCTATTTTAAAAGATCTTTAGAACCTTTTTATAATAATTTTCTTATCTCTGTTCCTTTTGAGATTGGATTATAGGACAATTTATGACTTAATACTCTAAAGATCTATAGGCCACCTGGTGCTAGTTAACAATTAGGACCACAATTTTAAACAAAACATAAAAAGGGAGCTAATTTATTAGAAAAAAATTGCACATAGTAGGAGTAAGTACATTTTAACCACCTTCATAAAACTTCATATCTGCTTTTTCTTCCATATTTTCATTCTTCAACTTCATTGTTTAAAAAATATTAAGGATAGACACAAAATTACTGACCTCAATAATTTGTTAATCTTCGGAATTTCCAAAGAGGCAATTACATAAAGATCCACAAACCACTTAATATAATAATAAAGTGATTAAATTTCACTTGGATACATGAAACATTTATGCAGCACAAAGAAGGCCAATATATTGTCTTATAAATTTTCCTCACTGTAGTTTTAATTTTGTTTGTAGTCTTCTCTATGCTTTGAGAAATAATTAGGCTAACCGCAAGGGTGAAAATAAGTTTACGTCTATGATTTTAGCTTCCAGCTATCTTTTAATTTATGTACAATATAATCCCATGTGATAAAATAATTATTTTTTGTTTACTTAATTGGGCAATGACCAAAAAATATTCTACATGTCCTACATCAAAAGTTTTGGGTTTTTAAAATCAGAAATGAGAATATTTCTCATTAGTCTACTTCTTTATTACCTTCTAAA